AGACTTCAGAATCTTATATCGTGAACTCCAATCTGACATAGCTTTTTTTTTTATTTTATTTTTCCTTGCTTTTTACAATAGTTTAGTTTATGAACAAAAGTCAAATTACTTGGAAAGCCATTCTTGCACTGCTCTTTTCTTTCCATTTGCTATGCCCTTTTCCTTTTTACAGCTCTTTACTTAATCTTTGTAAATGGTATTTGTCAGTGTGCTCACCAGACTTGGAGCAAATTGGATATTACTAAGCAGCATCACCTTGTCAAAGCTGAAAATGCTCCCAAGCCATAACATGTTGGATGGTTGGTAAACATGGAACACCAACCTCACTCCACTCGGTGGCTTGCTTTTCACACTACTGCTGTTCACTCTATCAAATGCAGGGAGTAATTAAGGGTGAATGCAACTGCCAAAGACTTGGAAAGCAGCCAGAAACCCTTTTGCCAAGCAGATATTTTTCATTGTTATTATGATATTTATTATTTCTTTCCTCTTCGCTTTAGTAAAATAAGTTGCTTCACTACCCCTCTAGTGCTGGTAGTTACTGGTAGTAAAAACAGTGAGGTGAAGGAAAATCAAGTTAAGGTCAATCCTGTTAACCAGAGAAAAGCCTCAGGTCACTCACTACTGTGACCACAATTAAGCAGTGTATCTTTGTGCTAGTTAAAGGTTAAATTAGTGGAAAGATGAGGCATGAAAAACAAGGAAACAGAAAAGAATGTAATCTTTTCAGCAGGTTAAAGGTGAGACATGGCACAGTTTATTGTATGAGTGCATAGTCACAGGGCTGGGGAGTCCTGGAATACATTGCAGAAGTTGTCCTGAACTGTCCAGAAGTTGTCCCTGAACTAGGATAGAAGTACTGCATAGAGAGAAGAAATTAATTTTAGAAAAAATCAGTTTAATATGTATTAATACATTAGCACACCAGTCAAGTAGCCTTGCTAAACATTATTAGCTAGTGAAAGGACATCTCCTTTTACATGCCCAGTGGACAGATACTTCCTGGAGCTTTAACTAACAGAAGAAGGCTGCACTGAATTAAAAATATATGTATTTGCTGAAGCAACAGCTAAGGAGTCTGTGGATTTCCCCCCTGTACACACAAATAGAAACACCCTGTTCTGCATTAACATAATCTAGTATATACATGACCTCCTAAAACTGTGAAGTTTAACATGACTGGATTCCCAAACACAATGCAACCCTCACCAAATAGTTGTGTGGTTTACTAAAAATACTGTGAGGAAAATGGCTATTGTTTGGTTTTGGGTTTGGGAGTCTTTTATTTTGGGTGGGATTGATTTTTGTTTTATTCTCTTTATGCTTCAGTGGAAAAACACTAACTAATGGCTTCTTGGAGCACAACATGCCAATCATATCTTCTTTTAACTCATCTTCTGCTGCATGCTAAATCTTTATTGTGCCTGTGCTATACAACAGGTCTCTGTTCCAAGGGATAAACCTGGCAGGACAAGGAACATCTATGCATATTTATTTAGTCATGCAGAGGTATATGTGTGGTAAGAAACTCACCAGGCTGATATGCTGGAATTCCCATGTCATGAAAAATAAACAAACAAACAAACATACAAGCTTTAATACACCTTACCTAAGGTGCAGCAATGCAAATAACCTGAACCATCACTTGCAAACCAAATACCTCCATGACTTTTCTTCCCATGCTAGCAGTATTAGGTATACCTGAGATGAGTTGTAGCATAAGATTTGCAGATGAAAAAGTGAAAGATATGGTTGACATAAAATTTTCTCTTAGCTGAAGCAACAGTGAAAAAGCTTTTGTCCACTGAGGGAAAGGAGGAGAGCTAAAGAGCTGCTGAAAGCTGCTGAAAGCATAAGACCATAGTCAGTGCCTTTGGGGAAATCTCATCCTATCAGAGCTGAGTAAACGAAGTCTGGGATGTCACAGAGAATAGTTCAAGTTCACTTTTCTTCTGCTACCTGTGGTGTTCAACCTCTTGCCTTTCCCCATCTCATGCCACCTATTTCCTTCATCCCCATATGCTGACCAAGCCATCCTTTCCCAAGCATATTCTATGCTCAGCTTCCAACATTTCTTTCTACCAGTGCTATGTCTATGGATCCTTCTCCTCCATATCTTCCTGATTGTGTAATAAAAGTTAATTATGGTTGAATAAAAGGTAAATCTGTATCTTTAGATCTATATACAAGCAGTTTAGAGTCACATGCTTTTAAAGCAGAGAATTTGCATAGGCAAATTGCACCTACAAAAGTACCTTTTGGATGAGGCTCAACTTTTTCTTCGTTTCTTGCAATTTAGAAATTCTGTAGTACAATTGAAGGAGTACCTTGTTAAATAGACTTGTTCCTCAGAATTGGATGAGAAAATTATTTCCTTTTCCTGTTTTTCCAGGTGATTCAGTTTTACCCTGAAGTTACTAAATCTACATACATCTTTTAGTGTAGTGTAGATTAGGCAGCTATTAAACTCTGGTGTCTTTACCCAGTGAAAGGGGCTACCACTGGTAAAGAATGATTATTTGATTAAATTCATGATGTGGACATGAGTTCAGTGTTAACAGGGTGGACATAAAATATTCTACAAAGGTCACAAAAGAGCCAACTGGAGAGATTAAGCCTTTTGATTACTATCAGCTGTATCACTGTAGAATGCAGTTAAATAATTTTTCTGACATGAATGGAAAACCTTTTTTTTTTTTCTTTTTTATGGAAAAGCTTTTAAAGACTGCAATGCATAAATTATCAGAGCTACTTTCAGCACATTTTAATGTACTCCTAATTTAAATGTAATAATAAAAAAATTAAGCCTCTAACTGGTGCTCTAGAGATTTGCATAAACCTGTTAAATACACAAACTGTCTCTCAGCTGAACTCCTGACTTTTAAGCTTCTCTTATCCTTCCCTTTTTTAATGATAGCTCTATTCTATAGGGAAAAAATTATTGTATTACTTTTGAAGATCATTTTAAAAGAGGCTGTACACTATTCATCCCTGCTAATAAGAATGTAGAGACACTGACTAAAATGAACTTCAAAAATTTTTAAAAGAAAATTTCAGAGCCTTGGTGTTAGACAAGTGGGAGGTGGACACTCCAACATGCACCATCTCCCCTTTAAATTTTAACAACTCCCTTTTTCACCACTAAGGACAAATAAATGAGAGTAGATATAAGTGAAAAAATAACAGTTAACTAAGAAAAAAAGAAAGAGCAACATACTTCAGGCAAGAAATATCAATAAATAATCAGTAGGTACAAAGTTGCTAAATCTGATGGACTCTCCAGGGAACAAAGATAAGCAAAAATAGTGGAGAAGCCTTTCACCAAGATGGTTCCCTCCACAATGGCCCTGTGGAGAGAGACAAAGAGAAAACAGCAGACAAAGCCTGCTTGGCCCAACCTTTCCCCTGGAATGAAAAAAATAAATTGGGGAAAAAAAAATAGCAGCTTACAATGCAGTTCTGGTGGCAGATGGGAATTGATGGCGTTTGGGGAGCTCTGACCCCACTGCGTCAGCCTCTGGTTCATCAAGTGTTGGTGCTGCTATCCTAGGTTGGTTGCTGTCCTGATAAGGAAGGAAAATAACGTCCCCTGGAGCACAGAATGGTGGTCTGATCTCAACCAGCCCTGGCTTTGTGCTGAGGGCAGGTGTTGCAAAATTCACTATATAACAGTTTGGAATTTGTAAAATGCAACTTCTGTGATTGACACTTGAGGATGTGCTTGAAGCAAACCCCTCTGTGGCCCCGAAAGAAACAAAAGAAGGCTCCTGCCTGCTGCCGCCTCAGCTCACTCCATGAAAACTCCAGGGAAAAACAAGAGGTAAGAGGGCTTCTTCTTGAGTGCCCTGACCTTAAAATGACTCAGCACCCCAAACCTCAGCGGCTCCATTTGTGGCTGACAGATAGCCAGAATGGAATACCATAACATTTTGGGTTACCCAGGGTATTTTCCACCCCTTATTCCATATCATGCCCACATGAATACCTTTCCTCTATACACATACAAATACAATTTTTTCAGTAGCCACTGACCATTGCCCAGGATACGGATTTAGTTCATTGGTCCATGCTAGGTTATGTATTTGTTGAGGGGGGAACTTCCAAACAATTGGAGAAGAGTATTCCTTCAGAACCTGGCCTATATCTTCCCACATTCCATGCCACTCAGGATTATTTTTGCCACTGGGGCAGCTCTCCAGGCAACCTTTCTGGAAATCTCATCCCTGATTCTAAATGAGTTGAAGGCCATAGAGAGGAGACATAGCAGAATTAGCTACAAAAATATGGTATTTTGAATATTCAGAGGGAAGTGAACATTCTCAGAAAGTGATGTATCAGACCTGAAGGAGGGAGAAGGAGGTAAGAGGCTAGGAAAAATCATTCCCTCTTTTTCTTCCAACAGGTTGGGTGTGATTATTTATAGACCCCCAATAACATATTGGATTACTCAGGGTAGCCCAGTATAAGGTAGCCTTTTCTGTTTTATCCAGACATAAATATCCCTTTCTTTCGACCTTCCATGCTGCTGGGGTTCAGAGCAAGAAGAGAAGAAATGAGTAAGAGAAACCTATGCTGTATATAGGACCATTACTATTAAATCCTGTATTAGCGACAGGTTTAAGGTTTAGTATTTCATGAGCCATCTGACTTTGAATAGATGCTTTATCACATTGGAAAGAGGAGAGTCTTCCTATGAGAGATGGCAATCCTTCCTTGGTCTGGCAGGCTGGAAGATATTGGTTCAAAAATCTTGACAATGGAAAGCAATCTTAGGTAATATTTAGAGGAATGCATAGCTTGTTGTTTATAACTTTTCTCTCCCTCTCAACCTTCACAGTTCATTTTAAGGTTCAGTTTTAGTCCAGAAAAAATAAAAGCATAGTGGTAAGATTCAAAATTTCTAAATGCTATTCTAATGAAACATGCAACAGAAAAAAAATTAACCACAATGAAAATATAGGGGACTTCTTACTAACATTTATGTTGCTTTATCTTTCCTCTTTGGAGTAATGCTGACTTAACACTTGTCTCAAGGTGTACAAGAGTAAAATCAAAGACACGTACCTAAAAATTATATGCCTCCAGCCACAAGCAGTCAAAAAATGTGGCTCATATAAGATTCAGGCTTAAAATACCTACATTTCATTTCAAAATTCATGGAACAGCATTTAAAAAAAAATAAGGATTCACGTCTTACGTTCAAAAGTTAAGGATGAAAAGTATCCTAAGATGAAAAGACAGGGAAGTAAGTGTGGCAGCAAGAAAAGAGATGAGAGATGTAAATAATTTTACTTGTTAATTGTGGAATTAGTTCTGGAAGCACCAGGAGATATATAACATGGATTCTCTTTTTCCAGCAGCACTGCTTTCTAATTGACAAGAACACTCACCTTGTATGAAATGTTTTTGAAAACTGGAGATAACCAGGTGGGAACACTAACAACTCAAATTTTAAAGTAAATTTCTGGTTTAATAAGAAGCATCAGGTACTTCATGGCAAAGAATTTTTTTATTAAAATATTAAACAGACATGGAAAAAAGGAGATTTAAAGAAGTGTTTTCTCAGCCAGAGCAACTCTGTCATTCTATGAAGCTATATTGTGATAACAAAATTTAAAATAAATACATATTATGATAAATTAAAAAAAAGTGAGTTAATTTATGTTTATTATGTATGTGATTGTACATATCATCTACATATATCAGAAAAACATCTGTATAGGAAATACAAATTTATGTATAGACTAATCAATTAATTTAAAATATTAAATATTATTTAGTTATAAAATTGTACATGTTTGAGTATTCACCTCATATAGACACTATATGTGTAAAAATATTAGATTCAAATACCATTATATTTCTAATATATTTTAAATAATATTTAAAGTTCTCAGATTTAGATACTATTTCTTAGTCAGGCTGATGAACAGAGAGGCCAAATATATTTGAAAATGCAGTGAACCAAGTTCTGTTCTTGCTAACACTGACACATTTTCATTTAGATAAATCTGAACAGAATTTTACCCCTTATTGTATCTTTATTCAATTAAATCTCTAATAGCATTAAGTTTCATTTAGAAAGTTCACCATCCATAATTAGCTGTTTCTTTGAAAATGGTTGTTAAAAATGTAGTTTCAGAACAGCTTACCATTCAAATAATATATATGCATGGAATAATTGATTTGTCCAAACTTTTCAGTTTTAGACATTACTCACTAATTAACATTAAAATTCACATGATTTTTACTATTTATTTTGATAAGAGCACTAATTATTAAGTAATACCCTGACCTTTAAGAAAAATTACATTCAGTACAAAAATTAAGCCCAGGATTGAAGATTCAGTCACTAATCTCTATAAAGGGGCAGAACGAAAGCAAAACAAAATAAAATCCCTTGAAGTCACATCCTGTCATTCTCTTTCAACTATTCTTCTGTGTTTCTGTCCCTTACATTTAATTTCATTTCATTACATGTAACAAGACTAATTTTTTAACAATCCATATTGATTCTGTTCATTTTTTTTACTCTCTTTGACCACCTTTTTAAACCCTGAGGTATTTTGCAACAGAATTAATTTTAATTTGATTTGTTTTATTAAGCAAAGGGTTTCCAATGTTTCAAATAGAAGTGATATTTAATGGTGTTATTTCATCTTGTGAGGTCCAGACATCTTGCAGAATACTTATATTTTTACCAGTAGTTTATGAAGACCAGATATTTTTTGGTATGGAATGCTTTAAGTTGATTTTTTGCAATATACTTTACTTTTTCTAATAATTTTTTTAGTGTTGCAATAAGTTTAATTTTGTGAGAATTTTCAGGGAAGAAAACACTTCTTTAACCTGAAAATTCTCATAATGAAATTATCAGTCTAGAACTAAAGTTAAGAATAAACACATGAGAAAGTGTGACACAGAAAGGGAAGAAAAGCCACAACTATAACATCTAGAAATAGTAAACTGAAGATCACGAGGAAAATCCATTATAACAGATTTCAGAGACATGATAGGATCCTGCAAACAAGGGTATCCTCTGTGACCTTCCTGAGTGGTCCTCTATACATGTGGTTCCATGTCTGTGATTGAGAAGATTTGTGATTCGACCACAGCAAATATCATTCAGGTTAGATAAGACAAAATTTTCGCAGCAGTAACCCACCATTATGGATTTCCTGAAAATATCATCACTATGCTGGATGAACATATCTGAAATGACACAGATACATTTAGTTTTAGCTGATGCAGAGGATCCACAGTGTTGCTATTGAAGTTATTCTCAGATCTGTATTTTTTTGCAATTTTTATGGATTTAGAGAGATTTCAAATGAAATAAAACTAATTTCTATATACATCAAATCTTAAAAGATATAAGAAAGCAGAAAAAAATGCCTGCAAATCTCACTGAACAAGATCTCACCATTTTCCAAATCATTGTATCATAGTTACGGACCTAGAAGCCACATGAATAGAGTCCGGATAGCTTAGGTGAATAAAATACAACCAAGAAATAAAGGCAGCTTTGGGATATGTGACAAATTAAAGTTTTGACTGCAGAAATACATAATGAACTATTCAGCCAGAGAGTCTAGTCTAGGATAAAGTCAATCATACCTGCACACAAAGGAAACCAAGCTACTCAGCAGTATTGAGTTACATGGGCTTCTGTAGTTTGCTGCAACATGTTTAAAGATGGAATTGCTCTTTTTGGAAACTTCTCTACACTCACATGTACCACACTGCACCAACTTGTTGGGCTGTGGCTGAATTCTCACTTTACCACAGTGGAAGTGATAATTTGCTGTCACTGCATGCAGTCACTGGCTCTTGCATCAGTGAACAAGAGAGCAGTCAGGGAAGAAAATGTGATTTCAAAAAAAACTAAGGTGTTTGAAGTGCCCTAACTTCCTCTACTATTTGTTCTGATGATGTGTTGCCTTAGGAATACTCAAAAGCACTAAAGAGTTTCTCTCCAGCTCCCATGATCTGCTTCACACAAGGAGCCCTGATTAGCTATCAGGGAGCTATGAATCATCTCCCAGTTCTATTGATAACTTAGTATTCACCTTAGGGGAGGTAACATGCCACAGAAGTCCCAATGTACATGAGAAACTTATGACCTGCTCGTTGAGACTGCAGTACCCCATCACCCTCCTGTGTCCCTGCTTTTGAAATATTTCCTATTCAGGAGCCAGGGAATTGGTTCCATCAGCTGTAGAAGTGATGGCTTTTCCACAGGGAGGATACTTTGAGTTTGCTTCTTTCTGACCCAATTATACTGCTCGAAGGAGACCGATACAGCTGCATGTGTCTAAAATGTACCCACTGAGCTTCTCACAGACCTTCAAGGGCTCTGAGCAGTCAAGGTCTGCTGCTAATGGTTTCAATAGGTAATAGGTCCTCCATTTGGCCTGTCACTCAAAGGAGGGAGAAGGAAAGCAGGTAACATTGAAAAAGGATACTTATTGGTGCAAGGAAAAAGGAGATCTGCTCTTAAATGGGAAGAGACAGACTGTAGCTAGACAGACAGAAAATCTGTAAAGTCGTCCTGAACCTGGATCCAGCAACTGGTGCCGTGGGTCCACTCTGCTCCAGAGGCAGCTTTGCTAGAAAACAAGAAAGAAATTATTCCTTAGGGATAGGAGTTCCATGGATATATAATATAGTTATTTACCCAAAAATGTTCCAGTTAACTGATACTCCTGATTTTTATGTTAGGCAGTATGTCTCTGAAAATCTAATCCTTATTTAACATTGGTATTTGGTCTTGTGAAATACCAAATATATGAAGCAAAGAAGCTGGGTCACTGTATTTTTTTAGTTTAAACTTAGAAATGTTGTAATAATTTACTAATTAAGTTGTACTAAATTGAAGAGTGAGAAGAATAGAGGCTCAATTATATTTTTCATATAATGCACAAGTCCTTTGTGCTTAATACTTCAGTTTGTTCTAACTTTTCCTTTATCCCTTCTGTAACCAACACACATTTTAAAAGCTTGCATGGGATTTATTCTTTTTGTTTCCATGGCAACAATGAGACTGATCCCTCAGATATGGAAATCTCCATTTATTCTGAAAATTGTTTCCTGGCAGGATTGTCTTGGATCTGAATCTTGCAATTGAATATACAGGAATTTTATCTTTACATATATCATGTATATTGTATGTCGGCAGGGAAACAGATATCTGGCCTGCTTCCTCAGCTATCGATTGTACTAGCTGCTGGTTTTGTTGGGCTTTAGATTCTATCTGGAATTAAGAGTTAACTATTTTGCTGGCCTTTGAACTACGGTAACCACATTTTTGGCTGTGAAGCTTGTGACATTTCTGCTTCCAGAAAAATGAATGCAAATTTTGTTACTTCAACAGAGGAAAGCAAGCACATCTGCTACTTAGCGTATTTGATCATTTTAGTTGAATGATGATAGGCATTGCAAAGAATTGTTTATCTGGGTTTGTGAATTCATCTTCCAATCAGTTATTCAAAAAGTTACAGATGATAGTTTCACTATATTTATGCTGGGACCCATTTTATTTTACAAAGCTCTTAATTAATCTTGCAAATCAATAGGAGAAAAATCACTTTTCCTTGTTTGGTAAACCATTTACTTTGTTTGTCATTCCTTCTTATCCTTGATTAAATTTGAAATTGGATAGGTTTGCCTGCAAGCATGAGGAAAGCCAGGCTCAGACACCTGAGTAGAAGTTAAATCTGACCAGAGGTAAATGCCTCAAGATTTGTGACTGCAGTGAGACAAATAGCAGAGCTGGCAGTAAATAAAGTTCTGTGAGGATGTCCTCAGTGTTTCCCACATTTAGCAGTTTCAGCTATTTTTTTCTGTTAGCTCCGTACTCTTTCACCTTCTAACATAATAACAGGTTTGTTCTGACATGAACAAACACTTATTTACATGGGAGTCAAATATCCAAATGTCTTGCTAAAGGAGCTTAAATCACTATAATTAACCCATCAGAAAATATAATATACCAAAAATGATTTTTAAAATTTACTCTACTAATGACGCTCAGCATGCATTCACATTTTGCCCTTTTTTTATATGTCATACATCAGTGGTTAGATAAACACGCTGATTGCCATCATTTTTATGGCACTTTGAGAATCCAAGTTGATAACTGCCATTAATCACAATCTCAGCAGCACAGTACTTTGAACATATCTGCCACAGAGCTCTGACAGCAATGACCAATAAGGGACATAACTTGTTTTGCTTAATACAAAAAACACGTGCTTCATTGACTTTTATCTACATACCATTTCAAGCACAGAGAACCTTCAAAAACCCTGACTATTGTAGAGGTTCTTTCAATTCTTTGTACTCAGTATAGGTTTTGTTTGTTTGTTTGTTTTTTTCTTTGGAAGCTAAAATACAAACTTACAGTGATTAAACTAAGGGTGGCTTTGTTTATGCTCATTCATATTGTACTCAAATACAATAAAAGCCCTCTGGCCTCTGAGGCCATGTAGTTTCTGACAGAGAGTCACAGGGAGATAAGGAATTGCAGAAAAAGTGAGTATGCACTTACAAATAGGAAAAATACCAGTACTGGGGCATATCACTATCAGGAATCATTCATGAGTTGGTCCTGATTTAGCAATTTTCACAGTATTCTGTTTAACAATGAAACAGCTACTGAATGTAAATTTCTGAACAAAAGGCAAAATTCAGCATAGATAATAACAAGCTTCATGATCTTGCTAGCTTGTCTGTGATTCTGGTTTCTGAGGGGTAGAGGGAGGAACTAGCCTATACATCTTTGAACTATGACCTGATTTGAATGAGTTTACAGATTACATATACAGATCTGAGTTATCAAATCTTTCATGATTTTTTTCTTTAGCAAAGTGTTAGTTTATCCACATGCATTTTGTCAGTTACCTCAATGTCTAAATATATGCTACAATTCCTTTAATATATACCTAATTAGTTATATATTTAAAATATTTTTTTTCCTTGTTCTCTGATCACTTCAGCAGTTCAGTTGAATCATTGTCCATTAATAGGTCACTGAGGAAGTTACAAACTGAAACAGTCAGACTGATGTTTGTCTTTAAGCCAGTTATATTAACATCATTAGTCAATCATTATTAATATAATTGAAAAAAATTAAAGAAAGAAGATGAAGTAAAAAATTCAACTCTTTTATGGCTTTATATATGTTGTTAAGGAAATTTCAGCTGTAACATGTAAGAAATAGCATACTTAATGATAAATCTTTTTATTTTGTAGATATGAATTCTAATTCATTAGTTTGAACATCAGTGTTCATGGAAGATTAATTTTTTTTTTTACACAACGGGAGCACTAAACAAAGGAAGTATTTAATATAAACTTGTATAGTTCAATATCTCATGGAATTAATCTATGGGATGTATAAAAAGGATGAAGAAATAAGTGCTATTGAAAGTCCTTGAAGGTGTTTAAAATCTATGTCACTATAAATAGAAGCTGACTTAGTCTATATTCAGTCTTCTTATTTTTAGACAGCATATTAATTTTTAAATTTTTATTCCTTTCAACCATTCTTCTCCAGTGTAAGTGACCAACCTTTTTCATTGTAATGTAGAACTTTTTATTGTCTTTTCACAGACCATATTTTTTGCCCTAACATAAAACTATAGCAATTTTCATGGCCTATGATACTGAGGAGGTCAGACTAGATTAACTGAAAGTCTCTTTTAGCCTTAAAACCTTCTTCTATAGTAGCTTTTTGCTGGAAATGTCATAACAGTCCTGTCCATAACAGTCCTGTCTGACTGCATGCTATTAAATTAAGCTATATGCTTATTGAAAGCTATTTTGTTTCTTAAAAAGTACAATTAAATAAAAAATACTGCATCTAAAAATATGATGAAAATTCCAATCCCTCTCCCTTATTCTATCTGTGGATGCTAGTTTTTACCTACTATCCACAGTGACTGTGTTTCTTGCAGACATATGCTAAGACATAAATTTCATATGTGAATTAACTCCCCAGGCTAAAAAAGGTATAGTAGTGTCTTTAGTGAAGTCGTTTCTTGTTAATTTTTGTTTGTTTGTTTGTTTGTTTTTCTTTGTTTTCTTGGTGTTTTTTTCCTTTGGTTTGTTGTTGTTTTTTTTTTTTTTTTTAATTTGAGCTTCTGTATTCTTGACTCAAGTTCATATGCAGATATTCAGTTGTTTAGCTAGATGGGTAAAGTTAGGAAAACCCCACAGCCATACTTCTTATCTGAGGAGAAAATGCTAAAATATTTAACAATTCATAGCTCCTAGGGCATTTGAGCTTCCAGTAAGTTTCAACTCCTTTGCAAGTTGACTATTTCTTCCTTGAATAAAATAAGGTCATGCCAATTGTGACCTCTGGCCCAGAGGTAGTTTTTTAACTATCCTGAATGTCATTTTGGTGTTGATAAAAACATGACTATAAATTCAGTTCCAAAGGACCTACATAGTAAGTGCCACTTTCTAGATCTCTGTGCTCCTGCCTTACCTTGCACTGACTTCCTTTATTCATGAGTATATCTCATACAAGCACTGAGCCAACCTTGAAGGAAATCACGCACATTGCATTAGGGAAGCATTCTGATATGGCATGTTCCTGGTCTCCTGAATGTTACATGTTAATATTACAAATATGTCAGTGTTTGTTCCTTGTTGGTAGCCTAGGAACAGGGCATACAGGTTTCAGCTACAGCACAGAAGGATGGCCCTTTATTGGGGGACTGAAGCCATTTTTAATATACTTTTCCTTTAAAGGGTGGTACTAGAATATGCAAATCAGTCAGATTAAACACTATAAGGAGGATAAGGAGAAGAGAATAGATGTTTGCTTTCACAGAATCACAGAATCACAGAATCACAGAATCACAGAATCACAAAATCACAGAATCACAGAATCACAGAATCACAGAATGATGAGGTTGGAAGAGACCTCTAAGATCAAGTCCAACCTATGCCCTAACACCTCAACTAGACTATAGCACCAAGTGTCCTGTCCAGTCTTTTTTAAAACACATCCAGAGATGGTGATTCTACCACCTCTTTGGGAAGACAATTCCAGTACTTTATTATTCTTTCAGCAAAAAACTTTTTCCTAATGTCCAACCTATGCCTTCCCTGATGCAGCTTGAGACTGTATCCTCTTGTTCTGTCAGTTGCTGCCGGGTGAAAGAGACAAACCCCCACCTGTCTAAAACCTCCCTTCAGGAAGTTGTAGAAAGCAATAAGGTCACCTCTAAGCCTCCTCTTCTCCAGGCTAAACAACTCCAGCTCCTTCAAACGTTCCTCCTAGGGCTTGCACTCCAAGCCCCTCACCAGCCTTGCTGCCCTCCTCTGGATGCACTCAAGCATCTCAATGTCCTTCCCAAACTGAGGGGCCAGAACTGGACACTGCACTCAAGATGAGGTCTCACCAGCGCCAAAAAAAAGTAGGGGAGAGTGCAAAAGCAGTCCCCCACCTACCACAAATTATGCAATCGCGTTTCCCACATTTGGGGAAATCTAAGGGGTCAGCACTCCCAGAGTGCAAGGGATGAGCCTCACCCTGGGAAAACCACCTGCCTGATCATGGTGTCTCCACTGCCAGGAAAGTATGCCCATTGGATGGACCATCCTGCAGAGTCATTCTGCTTCATTTTCTTTGTCCTGAAATGAATCCCATTTGCTCTGGATGTAGATAATTAGGTGAATATATATGTAAAATATATATGAAATACTGTCCTAAATGAATTTATAATTTTCATACAATATGAAAGGCAATAATTTGTTTATCATCTGGGTGAGTATGCTCATTCCGCACCTGAAATCTCAGTGTGCATTAAGCAGACTTTTTGAGCTGTGAATTCAGTGATCCTAAACTGAATATAGTGACAAAGGTATAAACTCCAAATTAAGTGTGAATAGCTCATTTTCTGTGTCTTCTCACTATCACAAAAACAGTGCTTTTGAAAAGGAAAAATACAGAAAATTGAAGGTATTGTAGAGATAATTTACTCATGTTTTTCTCCTGCATTCAAAATATTGTTAACTTTTCATTTTTAATTTTGTATTATTATGAATCATAAGGTAGAAAACATTATATAAAAGGCTAGATAAAAAATAAATGGTTCTTCCTATGTTTGTACTGGCTTTAGTTTAGGATGCCTCTTGCTTAGATTTTCTTTTCCAAAAATATCCCTTTACACAGAGATAGAGAATTCCTATATTCTTTAAGTTAAAGTTCAGGCTCTGATTAATGTGATATTTAAATTATGGGGAGGGAAAAACAAAACTCAATTCATCAAAAAAAAAAAAAACACCCACAATAGCAGAAGCCCCTTAGATGTTGAAATTCTGATTCAGTGTAAAAATAAAGTATTATTTTCCTGAAGTTCTCAACAAACTGTAAGTGAAACAATGAGAGTTACCTCACACAAAATCATAAGAAAAAATACCGTTTTAATGTTTGACCAAACATGATTTTTCAAAATCTTTCTGTTTTAATTTTTTTACAGCTTTTGAAATATCATATTGTTGTGTTTATGACAGTTTTGGTATGTAGTTATCTTTTTATCCTATTGCAGATGTTTAATATAAGCACTAATAATTTTTATTTTATTTTGTCTTTGGTCAAAGACCCTTAGATGTCTCATGTAAGACTATTTCTAACTTCATTAAAAACATGCAATCACCCTTGCGTTCATTCTGTTATGCTGGATAATTAAGCACAAATATTTGGTGTTGGTATTATTTTAATCCAAATCACTTTACATGTATGAATCATCAATGTCAAAAAGTAAAAAATATCCTCAGATCATCATTGCCCTTCTCCCTAACCTGACTAATGGTGGATTTACTGAAATTCTCTATTAGTAAATTCTTGGATTATATAATTGTTTGTGCCTCAGGTGTTCCTGTTCCATGCAGTTTTCTACACCTCTGGGTTCTCTCTCAGAAAAAAAAAAAAAAAAAATCCAAATTTAAAGATGTCTTATAATACCTTAGCTCAGGTTAGTTGTCTGAAACAGATAAGTAATTCATAAAGATCGCATTTAAAAGCAATGTTTTCTAACTTGTTCATGTTAAAATGTTAAAAATTGCTTGACTGCATCTTTGTCAGAGCAGGGAATTTGGCTCACAGATTTAAATTATTTGAGTAGTTTGGTTCTAAATATTGCTATTGGTTTAAATCAAATTGCTTGGAATGATAAGGTTTCAGTGTAGGGTTTCCTAGGTGAACATGATCATTGCCTCTGTGAAACTGCAAAGGGGTGTTTGGTTTTATTTTACTTTATCAAAACTGTCTAGCACTCCTGCTTTGAATAACAAAACCCTAAATGAACCTTTGTGTATAAAATATCAGAATTTAAGATCAAATAATGAACTGTACTGTTGGAAATATAGTCTATCAAGTGATACATCTTACCCTTCATCTCTCCTCTCTCAACTACTGTTAGGATCCTCTGTGGGATAATTTACGGTTTTTCAGTCAAGGGACATTCCTGTATGACCATTTCACCCTAACCCTAGCAATTTTTTTCTCAAACTTGGTATGGTGTTTCACCTTTGAAATAACACGCGCTGCAAAGAATCGAAAAGAAGAGGTTTTTGTGCTTCATCTGCTGCCAACCAAATGCTCATTTTTGATTCTGTAGAGTGCAGTAGATAAAAAGATTATATACCATGTTTTGTTTTCTTCCTCTTGGAGTAACCACCATTTGGTAAAAAATGCTAAAACATCTTGTTTTAAGCACAGAAGAATACAAGTTTTACTTGAACTTATTTTAAAATCCAATGCCTGCATAGGGCTGACAGGGCTATAAAAAGTCATGAAAGGTTTAAAAAGAAACTATCTACTCCTTAATTTACCATATCTATTAGAAAACATTGTTAAATGAATGAACTTCCATAGCTTATGTTCTTGGGGCATGTGTGGATTTTTCTCTACTTCTCTCTCATTTCTGGATGTCTAAGAAGTAATTTGTAATGTATGTTACTAATAACACAGCCAGCAGAGAGGATAATGTGAAAATAAAAGGTTCAGCTGCATTTTTCACTATAGGGGTATGGTACATGGTAGTAGCATACGTTAATTCACATACTTTCACATACATGTATAGAAAAATAGTGAATATCAGATATCATACTGTACAACTTAATGTACATCATACTTTACATCATAATGTAAAGATAGAAATCAGTGAGTTTTGCATATTCACCTTTTCACATTCACAGGCAGTATTATTGCACATATGTTGCAAGCTGAACAAAACTATTCATTGTGTCTGAAGGGCAAAATAACCGATTTCTCTACATATACATTTTCCCAAAGAAATTATCCATGAAAAAAAAATCAAAGAACTTTCTTCTGAATACTGCAGAGGATACTGTGATATCAGCTTTGTCAAGTGACAATGAGTTAAAATATGTTCTTACTTTACTATGCGATAGTGTTGTCACTGCAGTGCTCTCAGTCAGAGTAAAATGAGTCATCCCATGTATCCTGGAGCATTAATAGTGAACATCACACTAGCAATTCTTCTAACTCTTGAACTTTTGCAGCTTATGTTCAAAACTGATGCAAATATAACTAAAAATACCAACAATCTCTCTTGATCATTGTTCTATTCAGGCCAGTTATACAGTGACTGATTCTGAGAAATATATAATTGCATTAAATACAAATAGAAATTTTGAGGTTTAAGTAAACATCATTTAAAAGACTCGTGCACACTATATTTTCCCATGAGAGACCTTATAAAATGCCAGCATGACTTTTGTCATTCTGGTGCTATCTGGTCTTGCAGACATTTACCTGAAAAAGGCCTAAACCCTGCTGAAGTAATTAAATTAACCTGAGATGTCATCAGCAGAAATAAAGACTAATACATTTCACTTTCATTGGTAATGAACATGCACTTATAACTCCCACATGCCAGTTTTAACAGAGACATTTCACTGTATTTCTTCTCAAAGAAGTTTCCTGAAAAACTCCAAAATTTACTCTTTCCTTTTTTGAGGCACTGAGAGATACACATGGGAGCCACATTAAAAGAAGAGTATAAAGTAAAATCTCTTCTCCAATGCAGAAACAAAAAAAGTGAGTAAAGGTGCATTTACAGAAGACTGACAGGAAAGACTGTAGTGTGAGACAGACAACTTTTTTTGTTTAAATCCTTTTCCCCCCTGTGATATCTTGCTCTTCCTAGCTAAAAAAATGTTTTGATTTGATTAAGTTTTCCTAAGTTGCTCTAATTTGCTGTCTTTAAAGGAGTTTGGAAAACACAGGATTTCTATCCAGTCCATCATAGCTAAAGAAATAAAATGTCAGATGGCAAAGAAAAGTAGTTTCTCTTGACCCCATGACTGTGTTCACAGCTGTGAACACAGAGTAACAGCAAAATCTGTCACTGTAGGGCCAAGGCATATCTTTCCAGATTATTCCCTCTCCATTAAAAGAGGCAAACACTAAAACTAAAACCTCCAAGCCCAACCACAAAACGTCAAGGAGACTCATAGAGAGCAAGGGGACAGAATGGACAAATGACTTCCCATTGGTCCCAGCAGGGCAGGTAAAACAGGTGTGTGTAAATGCAGGTCTGCCAGGCCCTGGAGTTAGCAATCCCACTGTAGGAGAACCATCCTCTCTGCAAGAGACATCGTGTAATGTTGATTGAACATCCACACTGTAAACCACCTGGATTTTATACTGTGCCACGACAGAATTTTTTCACCTGGCTTTTATAACAAAAGCTTGATTTTGAATCATTTGTTCCCTATATTATTCACTTTTTGATTAAACATCACCCATTGTTATATATTCTGAGAAATGCTGGCCCTGCAGCGATTGTAAATCGATAGCTAGATGTGGAAGAATAGGAAGGATAAGGGAAAAAAAGGAGAAAAGTTTCTTACAGCTAAGTGAGAAAGAAAGTTAATAAAAAATAGGTCAGGCAATTTCAGCCCTTTCTCATATGAAACAAATGGGATAATCTTAAATAGGAGTCACACATAACGATCTTCAGTGTATCTGGGGCTCATCAGGAAGTGGCATACAAGTAGCAATATAAAAATCCTTTTTCACTGATATCAGGAAGTTTGCAGGATAATAGATTATCCTGCAAAGAATTTGTATTACATCTGTCTTTTTACATAGGACTGAACAAACATTGCAGAAATTAAACTCCTATGTTATTCAGGCCATGTACTCAGCAATGATTAAGCTGAAAAAACACATATGAAAATATCAAAATATTTTCTTAAAAATCTCTAGAATGGTACTCCAAATTGATGAAAAAATGAAAACAGAAGGTAAGGGTTTTTGGTTATTTTTCAAAAGACAATCATTTTAGTTATGTAGTTCCTGGAAATAAAACCTTCCATAATGCAATGAAACGATACTCAAAGTAAGTCACATACAAAGCCTACAAATTGAAATCCTACTGGAACTCCTACTTATCTGTCTGTTGTAATTAAATTCATCATGGAATCTTGGGGAAAAAAAAGAAAAATCCTACATTAAAACGCCTATTTAAAATACAAAAGGGAAAGAAACTTCCAGATTTAGGTATAAAAATAGAAGACATCCAAGTGGCACAAAGTTACAATTCGGGAAA